GAATCATAACTAGTTGGCAACAAAAGCTAGCATGCCTTGGTGTGAATAAGCCTTAACATAAAAACTCCTCACCCAGCCTCAAAGTTAGAAATTAAGGGAGAAATGTTTTCAGGGGGCCATTTATACACAGTATTTTTGAATACCATTTTGGCCAAATTAGTATCAAATGAGTTATTATAAAATGAAATTTTAAAAATTCATAAACATCTTAAACTTTAAAAGCTCAGCCCAGCTAGAAGTCAATGTGAGTTCTGACACTATGCTCGGGCAAACAGATTTGTCCATGATGATTATAGAGCTGTTAGCAAAATACTGGCCAAAACTTTTTTCAATTTTATGTCTTTCTTCAAAGATACTCTTCAAACTAGTATCCTCTGTGAAATCTTTCTTGACAAGTAAAACCTGGCTCCAGTAATTACTACTTTATTCTGCCTCTCATTTCTGTTTAATAAGTCCAGCATTCAGGCATACAAATTATATGCAATATTTCAAGACACTCAAATGTAATATGGATAAGACACTTCAAAAACAAATTTAGTCATTTTAATCACATATTTTAATATGGGATAAGATTTCTAGTTGGAATTAGTTATCATGGTTTAATTAATTGCAACATTGCTATAAAGTAGATGTTCAAAAGTCAAAATTACATCTCGCATTTCAACGATGGATGTTTAAAGTGTTTGTAAGTGTAAAGTGTTTGTAAATTATGATTTGCATTTTACAAAGCATTGAAAATATGAATTGTAAATTAAACTCCAGACAATGTAATATTCTAGGGAATCAGAGTATTGGATCCTAAAATTCGCCTTTTAAGTTCAGGCCTATTTTCTTGTCTGTTTCCCTACCGTAGATTGCATAAACTTTGAAAGCCAGGACACTATCTTTTTCACTTTTCATCCCATGGTCTTCACATTCAATACATATTTGGAAAATGAATGAATGGGGAAAAAAATAGGCACACAGGCAATTTATAAGTAATTCTCACAAATGCTTATATACCATCAACAAACAATTGTTCTTTAATCTGTATGCTATCTGCTTTCACAATTTTCATTAGAATTAAACGCATCAGGTGGGGGTGGGGAATCTGTGGCCTTCTAGGTCCTTAAGTGCTGCCTTTTGACTGAATGCAAATTTTACAGAACAAATCCTTTTATTAAAAGGGGTGCAGCAGAGAAAAATGAAACTTTTCTTGCCTCCTTTGGTGCTTAAAAAAGAACAATCTTAAAATCAGAAGGTCACAAGTTCCCCACCCCTGCCAGGATTGATTATTTTTGTGAGGGATTTTTTTTTTGGGGGGTAGTGGAACAGAATATTTTGAAGTACAAAAATAATGTAAAAGATGTATTCAATCTTTCCTTCCCCAAGGCTTTCCATTAGAGCTATTACAAACCCTGGTAGAATTGATTAGTTTCATTTTCAGCTTCCTGTTTGGTCCCTCAGGTTAGTGTTCAAAAAAGTCCCATCTGATAAATTTATTGTTTAACCTATCTCACTTTTTGAAAGAACAACTCTTTACTCCCCACAAATTACATTAGCTTAAGGAGTCTGTATCTAAAATGCGTGCCACTTTCTTGATAAATTGCAGGCCTGTGATATCGAGCCAGTTTATTGCAAGAGAAGTGAGGAGATAGGAGGCTTAACTCTTCTTCTATAAGCACTGTGATCCTCTGTCATCTTTCCTTGGGCCTTCCTGACCAGCAATCATGTATGAGCTTGCTCTATGATCTCAACAAGAGTCCCATATCATTCAACAAAAATGTATTGAGCACTTACACTTAATGTTCTAGGCTTTGTTTTAGGCATCAAAGATAGTGAATTTAATTTTTTGACTTCATGAATATTTATTTTAGTGGAGGAGGGGGAAGACAGTAAACAATATAAGTAAATGTTATAATATGTTAGAAGGAGATGTGTTATGGAATAAAGAAAAAGGTAGAACCGGGTGTGAGGGATTGGGAGTGTGGGCGGCAGCAGCAGGGCTGCAGTATTAAATAGGGTGGGCAGGGTGGGTCTCCAGGAGAAGATGCCATGGGAGGAGGTGAAAAGTGCAGCCAACAAGGTGATCTGAGGTAGCGCATATGAATAGAGAGAACAGCCGGAGGAGGAGCTCCAAGGCGTGTGTGGCAAGTTCAAGGCCTAGTGGGAGGCTATCGTGGCTGGAAGGGAGTGAGCTAGTGGGAGAGAAGCAGGAGTCATGGAGAGAGGGAACTGGGAGCCAGATCACAGAGGGCTTTGCAGGTCACTGTAAAGACTAACTTTTACTCAAAGTGAAATTGCAAAATTCCATAACCAAAAAGAAGATTCTGTTAAAAGAACAACTTTTGCCAAAATAAATTTAACAGAGTTTATTTGAGTAAAGAACAATTCATGAATCAGGCAGCACTCAGAACCAGAAAAGATGTAGACAACTCTGCTCTGCAACATGGGCAGTGAGCATTTATAGACAGAAAACGGAAGGCAAGTACAGAAATGGTTGATTGGCTACAGCTGCACATTTGCCTTATTTGAACATCATCTGATCAGTTGGCAGCCTGTGATTGACTGGCTGAGGCCTGGCTATCTGTTACAAACAAATACACTCTTAAATTAGGTGGCAGTTCATTTATGTACCAAGTTAGATTGCAGTTCATTACACAGGAGCTCAAGAAGTCCAGAGATAGCCTCAGGTCAATGCCTCCTGCATATTTTATTTAGCAGTCCTAAGATTTTCCAGAGAGGAAACACACCCTACAAACACACACACACATATATTACCGACCTACAAAAGAACAAGAATCAGATTGTAATTGGAACTCTAGATATTCTGAAGACTGTGGAGGAAAGCCTTCCAAGT